TCCGATTGGACGAAACCCTCCTCTCTCCGCATGGCTTATTTCTGTTCCTTTTTTAACATTTTTGAATTATTTCAGTTTTTTCGAAAATTTTGGCAGATGCAACCCTTCATAATAAAAATAATTTTTCGAAATTACACTCGGGTCCGGCCAAATATTCTCAGGGTTTGCACAGAGAGGACCCATAGCTTACATAACCCTTGAAAAGTTTTTTAAAAAGTTATACAAGTGGTCAGAAATTTGTGCCGAATTTCCCTATCTCGAGAAGTCGAAAACTTCATTTTTTTAAATGGCAACCCCAATTTTTTCCTTCACCATAGTATTGTACGCCGAAAAATAAGGGAACTACATCCTTATATCTAAAATGTACGGTTTTCGTAGAAACTTGAAAAAAATGAAATTTTCTCGGTTATTAGTAAATTTAAAATTATCAGCTGGCTTTGGTTTGAAGCAACCAAACCGAAGAAACAAAAACTATCGTATTAAAAGAAATACATCAAGAAACATCAAATGTTTACATATCAAACGTGTTAATCATGTTCCGTTTAGGATTTAGTAGTTGTAGAACCCTATGCCCAGATTGTTGGAAAGCACAAAAGAGTTAAACCAATCGTAGATTACGAAGAAAATGAAATTACAGTTTTGGGGTACTTCAGAGCGTATCCTGAAAATTCGTTATTAGATGCTGAAAGAGATTTGGGAATATCTAAGAAAAGCAATCACAGAATTTAAAAAAAAAGCATAACTTTCATCCTTATTCTTACCCATTGGCACAAAGTTTAAGGCCAGGTGACGATCAAAGGAGAATTGATTTTTGTGAATTTTATGTTGATTAAAACTTAAGAAGATGAAGATTTTTTGGAACAAATAGTTTGGATAGATGAGGCAAAATTTCACAAGAATGCTGTGTTCAACCGGCATAACTCTCTTTATTGGAGTGATACTAACCTATATGCTAACACATATTTCGTGAAAGACAATTTCAAGGATACTGGATTTTTAATGTTTTAGCTGCCATAAAAAATGATGGTGTGCTAGTGCTGCACTTTTATAACGAAAATTTGAATGGTAAGCTTGGAAATTGTAGGGCAAATTTTATTTCTAATTCTTATTCATTATTTCGGGCGAAACATATCTGGAAATTTTCCAAAATTATCGACAGCCTCTAACTCTGAACTGGAATCAGCACGGCGGAGCTCCACCTCATAGTAGTGCGTTTATATATAACTTTTTACAAAATCATCTTGAGAATCGTTGGATAGCTAACAACGAACCCCATAAACGACCTCCCCGTTCGCCCGATAGCACTCCATTAGATTTTTTGTTTGGGGTCGTATAAAAGATCGTGTATGCTACACCGATTACAACAAAGGAAGAATTCGAGTTCGTGATGTATTTCAATGTCTTTCTTCGAAAGAAATTCGGAGTGCCACTTATACCGCGTTTTTAAAAAGATTTCATAAATGTTTGGAAGTTGAGGGCAACCAGTTGGAACTTTTACTATAGTTATATCAATTTTTCATTCTTGTTTTTTATTTTTCATTTATATTGTTAAATATAGTACCTTCATTTCTCTTCTGCTGTTATAAGTTTTTTTTATTATGAAAGTTATAAAATGTGTGGAGATTGATTGGCTTTGAGGAGAATTTTTCAATGGCCTCACCCATAGGCTGTATCTTCGAAAGTAGCAAACTCCTTCATTTTGATGTTAATCACAAAGTCTAAATGTTAAATAAAATATTAGGGTAGAAACAAATAAGAATGGTAAAAAGAAACATTGAGATTTTATTTGAGATATTATTTTCATTTTTTAATGCTAAAATGTCATTGTCGCGTTGTCATCTGAAAATATACTGACTTCCGTTAGATTCTACTGTCCTTGCTGACTTCCATAAAAATTGCATCACCTAGAATTTATTAAGCGATTTTATTGAAATTTTCATCAACGATGTCTTTCATTAGAACAAATAAACGATTAAAATTTGAAAACAAAAGAACAAAAACTAATAAGTTTTTTTTCAATAATGAGTTGCTCCGCCACGATTTGTAATGCACTCATGTAGACGGCGCGACGTGGCAGCCTATCAAACAAGTGATCTATAGCTGCCTATGGTATATCAACTCATGCTTCTTGAGTCCGTAGCTGGAGATCGTGTAAGTTACCTGGAGGGTGTGGTAAATTACCCCGTCGCCTACCGATCTCATCCCATACATGTTCAATGGGCAACAAATCAGGTGACCGAGCAGGCAATGTTAGCTTCTTCCAAAAAACGTGCTGTAGTCCTTGCTGTATGAGGGCGCGCATTATCCTGTTGGAAAATGGGATTTTCCAGCCCCTGAAGATATGGAAGCGCAACGGGTTCTAGCACACTGGCAATATAACGAATGGTGTTTAAGTTGCCATCAATGAAGACCAAGGGTGACCTGCTACCGTAACATATTGCACCCCATATCATCATTCCTTGTGTGAGGACTGTGTTGCGTTCCACAAAAAATGTTGGATTTTTACGTTCTCCACGCATCCGTCTGACCCTCCTACGACCATCGCGGGTCCACAAGTAAAATCGGTACTCGGCACTAAACACAATTCAATGCCATGCTTGCACCCAATTCGCTCTTTTGTTGCTCCATTCTAGCCTGCGTAGACGGTGATGTGGTGTAAGAGGAAGACATAAAAATGGACGATATGAACGAAGCTAGAGCTTGCAACACCGGGATCCCGGACAATTTTTGTGCTGTATTAAAAACCGGTATTGATGGCAAAATACCGGTATTTCGGTATTATTTTTATTTAGCGCCCTCGATGGCCGGGGGCGTCCGATGTCTTCGAAAACGGCCGTGCTAGTTTTAAGTTGTGCTGGAAAATGACGTAGAGGATTCGTGTTTGTTATCTATTTTCTGTCCGTTCCAAGTTTAAATTTTCAAGTGACATTTTTTGACGTTTCATTAAAAAAATGCTAGCCGGAAGCGACCGATTGAAAACGACCGTGTTTGTTTAAAGCTGTGCTGGAAAATGATGTTGACTAAACAGAAATTTGTTATCTATCTTATGTCCGTACTAACCTCATTTTTTCAAGTGACATTTTTTGATCAGTGTGAATACCATCTACAAGAAATATCATTTTACACTCTGACAGAATGTTGAAGATAACGAAGACTCAACCTTTGATGACGACATCTTAATGTTCGTGTTCAATAAATTAGTCATACCTAGCCAACAATAAAATATTATCTGCACACAACTATTTTTGGAGTTTTTGCTCCATAATGGTGTTTCAGGTCAGTTTGATTCGTGTAATGTCCCACCAAGTATAATAGTAGTATGATAAGTCTCATAATCTACCAAGAGCCATTATGTTAAAGTTTCTTTCTTGAATCTGCACCTTTCCAGAAAATTCCAAAGCAGGAATTGGAAAGAATTCCACAGAGCTTCAAATGATGAAGTGTAATTTCATTTTTTTACGCGGCAGTGATGTTGAACCTTTGTTGAACCTTTACCAAGTGAAAAACAACAAAACAATAATGGTATTGAGACCTTTGAGTTTATTGGTACTTTGTACAGATTCCTAATATCTTTCCATTTTTGATTATCTTCTCAGATTTTGCATCTTATGCTTTGTTGCCAATCTAAAAATATAGTAGTAATTAACCTGTTGTTAGTAGAGGTGACGACGCAGAGGGGAAAAATTCTTACAAATAGATATATTTAGTGATTGTAATTTACTGAGTAAACTTTTTTTATAGTAATACCGATATTAATACCGGTATCCTGGTTTTAAAAATTTTGATTACCGAATACCGGTATTGAGATTTTGGTCCGGTATTGCAAGCCCTAAACGCAGCCCATAAGACCTGCAATTGATCGAGTTGTGGAAAATCTGTCTCTTCTGGCCAAAAGTCTTCGCGATCTGTAGTCCTGCCGGTACGTTCAGATCCAGGGCGACGTCGTATTGCCTCTCTCATACCAATAATACGGCATAATAACACGCTCAAAATCAGTGATTTGGGAAAGATTTTGTTGTTGACATACTCTTGGCATTGTTCCCAAGTTCAGAAGGAAATTGGGAACAATAATTTGTAAAATTAACAGTTAGTTACGCACAGATTTGTTTATTTCTTCAAATTTATTGTTACTAAGTCCAAAGGAAAAAACAAAAAAAAACCAAACTACTAGCTAGATTTTATTCAATTTTTAAATGTTTGTTCTAATGAGACATTGTTGACGAAAATTTCAATAAAATCGTTCAACAAATTCTAGGTGTTGCAATTTTTAGGGAACTCGGTATAGTTACCTTTCACATGAGCCCATCATCAAAAATGTTGCTTCCATATTGAAAAAAGATGAGATAATCGCATGTCCTGATTTTGATTTGAGAGTTGTTCCAACTTGTTTTGTAATTCGCCACGATAATGAAAGCTATTACAGTACTCAAACGGGTGCTGTAATGAGACTCCTTACAGCATCCGATGCTGTAATTAGATTTTAGTAACATTTTATGGAACCAGTTCAAGTTGGTGACATTGGGTCATTAATTTTTCTAGTTGTCAATGTGACAATGTTTGTCTATGGATGTTTAAACACGTTCTTAGCATCAAATACAAGGTCCACAATGATGAGGACATTGAACTCTGTGAGAAATTTCTCTTATTTTAGGTGTACATGAAACATTTTTTTCAGGTGAATACATTTTGTGTTTTCACAATTTCTAATTGTCAATTCATATTTCTATTTTCAAGTGTTACGGTGTAATCAACTGCTACATGCCTATTTCCCTACATTGTCAAAATTTATTTTATTTTTGTTAAAAAAAAAAGATAAAAACGCTAATAAGACATACATAAGACTTAAAGCACTCATTCATTAAAAAACTCGTGGCTTCGCCACTCGTTTTTTAACTTGAATTCGTACATTTCAAGCGTGTCTTACGAAACTTGTTTTTTAATATACTATTAGATACTATTAGTAGAAACTCATGTGTAATAAAATTATGAACACCTGTATATAATTTTTAAAATCTTTAGTTCAACAAAATATTTCAAAAATGAATATAAATATTAAAAATACATAATCATAATTCACTATTAGCTTAATTATTCTAAATAAATTAAATTAAATGAACATCTCCATTTTTAATTAAATTAGAAACACTATTATAAGAAATAATTGATTGAGACCCTTGTTTAAAATCTATTAAATCTCCATCTTCATCTGTCCCATCATCAATAATAACACCTTCAATATCAACTTTTGATTTCAAAAATACAAAACTATGAATATTAGGTTCAACAGGCATATTTTTCCATTCATCATTAGCAATTCCACTAACATTCTGTAAAGTTTCTTCAAAATGTTGTTCAACACTTTCTTTGTAACTTTGCGCAAATTCCATTTCGTTTTCAGTTAAATAAGTATCTTCATTTTTTTCAATTCTTTGTTGTTCACTTTTTAATATCAAAAATACAAACGTTTCTATTTTATGTAATCTGGTACGGAGATAGCTGCTTACTAAAAATCTTAATCTATCTACTTCCATTTGATGAATACTTAATTGGAAATCAGTACTTTTTAACGTACGCAAATTTTCTTGCATGTAATTTATCTGACCTAATAAACATTCCACTATATCGAATTTATTTGGAAGGATTTCTGGAGCAAATTTTTCATTTAACCAAGCTTCTTCCATTAATTTAATTACTTCCGCTGCCGTTAATGGAACATCTTCTATGTTACTATCAGAATCGGAATTTGCTTCGATTTCTGCAAATAATTGATCATCTTCATCCATTTTAATTAACTTAAAAAAAATAATTTTTGAGGTTATAAAATTTGGAGGGAAATGAAATTTATGTGGTTTGAGTGCGGTGTAAAAGTAGTTGCCTATATTAAAACATAAATGATTCAAAATACATTTTAATTTTCTTTATTATGTAAATTAATTAATATTATTAACTTATTATTGATTTTTTTAGGAACAGTAATGTTTCCAAAAAATCCTGACGTTTGGTGCGCATATTTAAAAAGAGCAATGAAAACCCAAGATGCTCTTTTAATGAGGGATGTATTCCATCGAGGTTTAATGAAATTAAAAGATAAATCATATCCACTTTGGTTACAAATGATCAGATACGAAATGTTAATGGGTCACGAAGATCAAGTTATATCTCTGTACAAAGTCGGATGTAAATCTTTAGGAGAAGTCAGTGTAAAATTACGACCGCGATTTCTTGATTACCTCCTCTTAACAAAAGGCATAACCGTTGCTCGCGCTTCCTATTTAGATATGATGAACTTTCTTCCTCCTTCTAAACAATTACACAGTAAAATGGCTGAATTAGAACTCTCACAAATCAACATTAACATGGCACAATTAGAACAAGTCTACAAAAACGCTATCCAACAATTTGGTAAAACGGATGTGGACGTTTGGTTGGATTATATCAGTTTTTATTATAAAATAAAAAGAAGTGCTGATTTAAAAAAGAGCACTGATAAAGTTTGCGCTGAAGCCAAACAGCAGTTGAGTGAGGAATTAATTTCACAATTTTCAATAAAACTTATAGAATTTTTAAAAGAAATGGAAATTGTTAAATATTAGACAAATAAGTTAGAAATTATTAATTATCTTTTAATATAATAATTAGATAGATATAAGGTAAAAATAAGACGTATATATAAGATAAATTTATATTAATTAATTTTAATGAATGTTAAGAAAGTAATTAATTGATCTAATTGACCAAGTCGTCGCTCAAGCAAGTGTAACACATATTAGTGTTCCAACTACACTTGACTATTAGTTGCTGGTTACATGTACTTGAACACCTTACTTTTAATCAAGTGTTCTAATCGCACTGGTACATGTGCTTATCCGTAAACCGGTAAATTGACAAAATAGCCTGGAGCAAGCACATTTTGTTCTGTTATTTAGAATTATAAAACTGTTCCATATAACAATATCACCACAAACATTGATCATATATTTTCAAAACTTACCTTAACACAGCGTTTCTCAACCTGTGGGGCGCCCCCCCCTAGGGGGGCGTCATAATTCTACATGGGAGGCGCCAACACATCAAAATGAAAAAAAAAGATAATTACTAATAAAAAATTAATGTCATTCTGACATTACAAAAAATGAAGTAAGTACAGTACACGCTTAAACTAATACACTCATACTATTACCTAGGCATTTAATTACTATAAATATAATTGTATCAGGTACTGTCAAATGCCAAATGAAACTAATAATAGACTCATCAGTACTAAATTAAAAGTAGCTGTAATGATTATAATTATTAGTGACTCCCTTGGGCCTGTCTCGCACAGCAAAGTTTTTCAAAAGAAGGTTTTATATTACAAATAGCCACTCTCAGTTCTTTGGTCTATATTCAGTCGAGACCTATATTTTGTCTTTAAAGCAGCCACCGCAGAAAATCCGGCTTCAAAAAGGTAGGATGTTGAAAATGGTAATAATATACGAAATGCTCTTCTTTTCAGTGGAGAAAATTCATCATTCAATCCAGTCCAAAATTCAAGAGAGATTTATTACTAAATTCTCTCCATTACTAAATTTCGCCGCTTGCAGTAAAGTCTATGAAGATTTCTTCTTCTGCAGTTGAGAGACCTTCGTGAGTAGTTCGAAATGGATCCCTAACCCACTCGTAACTTGCTGCCAATGTGTCGTCAGCAAGAAAATATTTTCAAAATTCTGTGCCAACATGGCTAAATGACTCTATTATAACAAAAACAACTTTCACATACTGTTCTTCTTTCTTGTATGTTTTGAAATATTCATTCACCTTTGCAAACATTTCTAGTTTTTTTTTGTTTTACATTTCTGCTCCACAGCTCCAAATTTCTACAGAAAGCACTAACTTTATCACTGCTATCCCACATGTGCGTGTTTGCTCCTTGGAGTTGTAGATTCAATACCCTGAATCAATAATTTCTCGAATATGTAACCAATTTCATCACAAATAAAGCATCTCGAAACTTTTTGGCTTCCAGGCGGTTTTCCTCTCCTAGAAAAGTGGCAATTTCCTCTTTTAACTCATAAACACGTAGAAATTTCCCACGCGATGGCCTCACAATAAAATAGCAACGTTGAATGTTCTGCACCCATATCTTTGCAAAGTGCATTAAAAATTCTTGATTTTACGGGTCTCATTTTTATATAAGTTACTACAGTTACAACCGTCGTTAGCACAATGTTGAGACCAGGACTCATTTCTTTGGAAACCAGAGCCTTTATGTTCCAAACACATTGCGGAGATTTTTGTTTCACAAGTGCTTGTAAGCTTTGGAATCTTCCAGACATTGTAGAATCACCATTGGTGCATATTCCAACGCAATTCTTCCACTCTATGTTTGCCTCATTAATAAAATCATTTAAAATATCAAATAAAGTGAGTGCTGTTGCTTTGAGTTCTATAGGTTTGCAGAAAAATAGTTCTTCTACTGCCGATATGCGATCACAAAATCAAACATCGGCCGTTAAATGAGCGTCTTTATTGCTATCTGTTGCGTCGTCAAGCTGGATCGAAAACAATTTGTCATACAACTTTTCAAGAAGCTGGTGCTGTACATCTTCGGCTATATCACCAATTCGGCGGGCAACAGTATCATTTGAAAGATGTATAGATTGTAATTGTTTGGCAAAATTATCTCCAAACATAGTTTCTACAATCTCCATCGCAGCTGGCAGAATAAGGTCTTCACCAATGGTGTGAGCCTTTTTATATCTGGCTATTTTATATGTTACTTTGTAAGAGGCAAGTAAAACTTTTTCGTTCACAAACAAAGTTTTTTTGAAGAATGATTTTGCGCTTCATATGACTAATTTGAATTCAAAGAATTCTCGGGGCTTGTTAACGTACTCACTATGAAGTGTTTCCAAATGGCGTCTAAGTTTATTAGGTTTCATGCTGCCTGCTGCCAAAATTTTTAAACAAATGACGCAAAAAAAGGTAGGGGGTCGCCATAAAAATTGTTATTGCAAATTGGGGCCCGAATACTGAAACGTTGAGAAACGCTGCCTTAACAGTTTGTTAATTATTCACTGTGCTACAAATTCTAACTTTTTTTTGTGTATAGTAGATCAGTTGAGTGTTTTTAGTTAATTATGAATTGCTGATTTCAAATATGCTTTCCATTTTTTTGTAACACGTCACGTTTTTTTTTTATTCAGGCTTCTCACAGCTACGAGTCTTAGGATTTTGTAGGGAAACTATAGATGCAATGAATTTGATATTTGGCAAATTGATATAAGGTGAAGACCTTCTAGTGGTAGTGTCATGTTTGTATGTAGATACCATTTCCGGTTACACCGGAAATTGTTACTGACATCACTATTATTAAGAAAATTTGAAAATTTTATTTAGCAGTTGGTTACATAATGTAATTCTAAACAACTTTTTTGCACGATCGGACTATTTTGTTTATTTACGAGTAGTGTTTCTGTGACGGTACCGTTCTAGAACGGTAAAACTTACTCGTGTGATTACACGACTCGGTCTACGACCTCGTCGTGCAATTCTCCACACTCGTACAGTAATTATGTTTCTAGCCCACTTGTAATATAAATAACTATTATTTGAAATTAAATGTACAGTTATTATAGCTAGAAATAGAAATTGAAATATTGCTTTTTTCGGTATTTGTATCAACAGAAAACGTCCGTGATGTAGAAGCACAAGCTGACGATTGTAGTATATTATCAGAAACGCTACAAGGCGATTCATTATCATCATGTCATCTTTTCTGCAAATTGATTTTTGTTTTGAAGAGAATCTTCAACATAACTTTCACCCACAGTCGAAGATTTCCAACCTCCATGTCTTTTTAGTCCTAAAACGTCTACACCTTTATTGGCTGATAATGTGGCTGAAGTACGTCGAAACGAGTGACCAGTGTAATTAACTGCATTTTCCAATTTTAAGTATTCAGCAATTTTCGATGATAAAGCTCCAATAGTACCTTTACCGACTACCTGACTTTTACATTTCCCATTCCGATAATTTAGGAATAAATGCAACGACTTTGCATTGTTTGGCCGCAGTTTAATATATTTCCGAACAATTTTCAAATAATAAATTTTTTCGTTTTTTTTATTTATGACAGTAAATGTGCGCTGAATATTGGTTTTTGTATTTGGAATGGTTATAATAATAAAAGATTCACGATTTTCTATATCTTTAATAGTCATTTTATATAACTCTTCTCTGCGACATGCTCCCGCTACTCCTAATATCATTGCTACCTAAAAAAATACATTGTCGCAAATATATCCTCGTATTTTTACAAGTAATCTAAATTTACCGTATGGATTAAAAACAATTCGTCTGGTGCTTCAATTAAAAATTTAAACATTTCATCCTTGGTAAAAACACTAGCTTTTTTAGGTTTGTACCCAACATTTTTTCTTTTTAGAAAGGCAATTAATGTTGAAAACATATATCAATGGATTCGTGTAAAAAAATTGTCGCTTTCAACATTGAGTATTCGGCCCATAAACTACCTGCAGCTTTTAATTTTCCGTTTCTTTCGACCAAATATGCCAACAAGATTTTTTCACTCGTATTTTTATTCTTTACTCCACACCATTTTTTGAAAATTTGGTACGTCATTTCATAACGTTCCCTAGATTTTTCGGGAATTATTGCCGAACGTCCAATATTCCAAGCTTTTTCTATATCATCACCATTTTCACTCTCAGAATCACTCATTTTGGTTATATAGTAATATATATTATAATTTATATAATTTATATTATATTAAGTTTTAATATTATTGTAAGCACTGTTTACAATACAATTTCACAAATCACACAATTTGTTTTTTTTTGTAAATAAAACCAGGGCAACAGACTTAATTCAAATTTTTTACCTACTTTATAAATCATTACAAATGTCAACATATTTTAGTAAATTAATTATTATTTATATTAATTTCGATCGTGCAAAAAATGTTATAACCATCACGAACGGTAAGTAATTTACCGTTCTAGATACTTAATATACTATTATTTGAAATTTATTTTACATCATTTATAATTTCCCAGAAAAAAATGAACGAATTCAAAAACACATTAACATAAGGTGAAGAGATAACATTTAGTTAACAGCTTTCACTCATCAGCTTCTTTAATTAAATTCCAACAAACCTCCGCGGCATATATTAAGATTTACTTTTTTAAAATATTTTTTTTAAAGCCTTCTACCGGCAGAAAAAAAACCGGCCACTAAAATTTAGCCACAATTTCAAAGCTGGCTTTCTCGCGAACCACTCATCCGATTGTGATGATTCTTTTTTTGATCGAAAGGTTGATTCTTCTGTAATAATCTTGCGATAGAAATTTTTATTCGGATATTAATTTGAGCATATACGGGGTGCCAAATGAGAAAAACTTTTTTTCTCGTAATTTGTAATACCTTGTGGGGTGCAGATGCTACTGCAGAGGGTATTAACTGGAATCAAACGGTAGCCCAATGTTTACTACGAACATTTTGTTTTTTTTTTTATTCACTCTATTGTCTCTGTTACTAACGAAGATGCAGTGTTTTAAAGCGAACGCCTGTGAAAACAAGACAAACAAGCATAAAAAATCTAAGGTGGCGCGTTAGGTAGCGTATGTCAGTTGTTTCGAATAGTAAATTGACAGTTGTTAAAGATGCCGTTGATAGTAACTGATGTTCCGATATGTGGAAACAGGAAATTTTACTAGGCGGCAAGGTTCCGGTAGAAGATGAGCGACAACAGCAGTTGATGACCGATGTTCTAAACACTGAGGAATCGTAGAATGATAGCTGTAGAAACTCGGCATCGTCTTCAAATGGTGCGTGCGGTTAATGTAAGTGAAAGAACTACTCGTCGAAGACTTGCTGAAAGTGATCTGACTGCAAGAAGACTTGCCAAAAGACAGCGGCTCCTCTGCGCGCACCTCTTCAATTTGGGCGCTTACATATCAATTGGGGAATGGAACAATGGAGTAAGGTGCTCTTCACTGACGAGTCCCGATTTTGTCCCCAGTCACTTGATGGTCGAGAACGAGTGTGGAGACGTCGTAATGAGAGGTTTGCGACCTGCACAATTTCAGAAAGAGTACTTTTCCATGGAGGTTCGCTAAATGCCTACCGTTATATCCAAGATATTCTGCAAGAAGCTGTCGTGCGCTACTCCCATTTTATTGATGACGGATTCATACTAATGCGGGACCGCGCGTAGCACGTGTGGTTAGCGAATATCTTGATGAGGTGGGTATTGAACGGATGAAGTGGCCAGCGTGCAGCCCGGACCTTAACCCTATCGAACATCATTGGGACCTTCAGGAGTTACGAATTGTTCTTGAAGAAGAGTTTGCCGCAACTCCTCAGGAATCAATTACAAACCTAATCATTTCGAAGCCGCGTCGACTAAATGACGTTATTTTGGCTCGTGGGGGACACACACGGTATTAATTTTCGTGTTATTATTAATTATTACATTAAATTAAATTTGTTTTCTTGTTTATTTGTCTTTGTTTTTACAGCATATCAGAACTGAGAACAGATGTTTACAATAATGAAAGACGTACGCAATTCTGTAATTCTAAGAAAATGTAAGTGCTTCTGCAAAACTGTTTCGGGTGCCCAGTTTTTGTTTTTAAGGTTAGTGATTTAAGGCGCTACTTTTAACAAAGATTAAAAATCTGTATAGGCTTCTTTGGATATNAGTTGATGACCGATGTTCTAAACACTGAGGAATCGTAGAATGATAGCTGTAGAAACTCGGCATCGTCTTCAAATGGTGCGTGCGGTTAATGTAAGTGAAAGAACTACTCGTCGAAGACTTGCTGAAAGTGATCTGACTGCAAGAAGACTTGCCAAAAGACAGCGGCTCCTCTGCGCGCACCTCTTCAATTTGGGCGCTTACATATGAATTGGGGAATGGAACAATGGGGTAAGGTGCTCTTCACTGACGAGTCCCGATTTTGTCCCCAGTCACTTGATGGTCGAGAACGAGTGTGGAGACGTCGTAATGAAAGGTTTGCGACCTGCACAATTTCGGAAAGAGTACTTTTCCATGGAGGTTCGCTAAATGCCTACCGTTATATCCAAGATATTCTGCAAGAAGCTGTCGTGCGCTATTCCCATTTTAGGTATTTTTTTTTGTGGTTAGCGAATATCTTGATGAGGTGGGTATTGAACGGATGAAGTGGCCAGCATGCAGCCCGGACCTTAACCCTATCGAACATCATTGGGACCTTCAGGAGTTACGAATTGTTCTTGAAGAAGAGTTTGCCGCAACTCCTCAGGAATCAATTACGAACCTAATCATTTCGAAGCCGCGTCGACTAAATGACGTTATTTTGGCTCGTGGGGGGCACACACGGTATTAATTTTCGTGTTATTTTTAATTATTACATTAAATTAAATTTGTTTTCTTGTTTATTTGTCTTTGTTTTCACAGTATATCAGAACTGAGAACAGATGTTTACAATAATGAAAGACGTACGCAATTCTGTAATTCTAAGAAAATGTAAGTGCTTCTGCAAAACTGTTTCGGGTGCCCAGTTTTTGTTTTTAAGGTCAGTGATTTAAGGCGCCACTTTTAACAAAGATTAAAAATCTGTATAGGCTTCTTTGGATATTCCCGGCCACACCATCACAGAACCACCATCGAAACATTTGCGTTACATAATTGTATAGTCCACAAATCTTTTATTTCAATGTCCTCATATTCGCTCCCGACCATCGCGTGATAGTAGACAAAACCACTACTCATCCGTAAAAAGGACTTTCCTCCATTGCTCGATCTCCCAATTCACATGTAAGCGCGCAAATTGAAGACGTGCTCGTCTTGAATTGATCGTTCTGCGATTGCTTAGAACAATAAAACGGTCATCAGCTACTATTGTCACTCATCTTATTTTCACAGGCGATCGCTTTAAAATACTACATCTTCGTTAGTAACAGAGATAACAGAGTGAATAAAAAAACAACATGCTCAGAAAAGATTGGACTACTTTTGATTCCAGGTAATACTCTCTGCTGTAGCAGCTGCATCCCACATTATGTTACAGATTTCGAGAAAAAAGTTCTTCTCATTTTTTTCACCCCGTATATGCTCAAATTAAATTCTGAATGAAAATTTCTATCGCAGGATTATTACAACCTCTCCATCAAAAAAAAGTATCATCAGAAACGAATGCGCGGTTCGCGAGAAAGCCAGCTTTGAAGTTGTGGCTAATTTATAGTGGCCGGTTTTTTTTGCCGGTCAGTTTAGGTAAGTTGAGCTTAATCATCATATTTTTGGTCAAGGTACTTGTGGTCTTCCGTTGTACACGTCATTTCCGGACACCTGTATACTGTATAGCTTTCTTTCTTTTTTGTATTTCATTTTTCTTTTCATTTTGCTCAATTAATTTTTCTAAAATTTTTATAACAGGATCTTCTAAATTAGTTGTATCTGCATCAAGAGGTTTTTCTTCTTGATTTGTTTTTTCTAAATATTGATTTTCAAAAACCATATTTTCTGCTTCATTAAAGTATGTCTGTTTTAACTGATCTGTCAGTTTAATCCAAACACTTCTGATTTGGTACCTTTTTTTAAATGTAATCTTGATATTAGCAAACACTTTTGTAGTACTAATTTCTTTATGTAGTATTGCGTCTTGTAGCTCTTCAGGCACCAAGAAAGTTTTGGTATCTTCACTTTTAATTGAGGTTATGTTGTTTTATAATGGGATAATTTTTATTGTTGTAAGTGATCAATTTATTAAAAAAACACTTCTGGGTTTCTCTATAAATAAGAGAAACGACATTCAATGTTTTTAATTTAAGTTTATTCTAACAATAGCTTTGTTCGTTGAGACTGCACTACTCTGCACGACATGGCACTAGTGTGACGTCATAGTGCAATTAAGTGTAAGTAAGTGCAATGTCTTGTCAACTGAGTGCAGGTCAGAAAAGTGTGTAAACCGTGGTCGCAACGAACAGATTTTTATCAAAAAAAGTTAATCAATGTTCTTATAGCGTTGTCAAGCACGTGAGGACAACCATAAGAAATTATTGCACTGAGGTAAAAATAAAATAATTTGGACATGGTGATATTCACAGCATTGTTTAAATTTTCTTTCTTCATTTTCCTTTTTAAATTTAAACATTTATTCTTGCAATTGTCTTATTTTACTTAATTCACTAGTCGTGGTACGATCCCGATTTCTGTTCTGGGATGGAACAGAAATGATGTTCTGATGTTCTGTTTTTTTCTTGTATCACTACTCGTTCAGTTAAATTGATTGGAGGTTCTTTTTCTGTTGGTGTAAAACATCTTTTGGCTTCAGGAACCGAAACGTTCGAAGGTCCTACAATTTGATCATCTTCAATGCTACTATTGCACAATCTTGTCTTCGCTTTTTTCCCATAATATCAACGATATTCCCTATTGTCGAGCTCCCTAAGGTACAAATGGGTTGTATAGAGCAGAGTTGGGTAGTATCCGGATACTTCTGTATCCGGATACTTTTTGAGTATCGGATACNTTTTTAATTTAAGTTTATTCTAACAATAGCTTTGTTCGTTGAGACTGCACTACTCTGCACGACATGGCACTAGTGTGACGTCATAGTGCAATTAACACTTTCGTGACCGATCACGTATTTTTACGTTTTTATATTGTCTATAGTCAGGCGCCGCTCACGTATTTTTACTTTTATATGACATTACTTGCGGCTCCTGGCGTAACAATACGTAGTGAAGATGCCGGCCATTGACGTTATCCTAATTGTATATGGAGCGGACGCGAAAGTGTTAAGTGTAAGTAAGTGCAATGTCTTGTCAACACAGCGCAGGTCTTAAAAGTGTGTAAACCGTGGTCGCAACGAACAGATTTTTATCAAAAAAAGTGTATATTTGAAATGGACGAACAGGAGATTGTCAGCGAAATAGTCGCGAAATCATTGTAGAATCTTTTTTTAGTAGCGATTCATCTGACAGTGATGTAGAATTACTTAATCAATGTTCTTATAGCGTTGTCAAGCACGTGAGGACAACCATAAGAAATTATTGTACTGTGGTAAAAATAAAATAATTTGGACATGGTGATATTCACTGCATTGTTTAAATTTTCTTTCTTCATTTTCCTTTTTAAATTTAAACATTTCTTCTTGCTTCGTTATTTTACTTAATTCACTATTCGTGGTACGATCCCGATTTCTGTTCTGGGATGGAACAGAAATGATGTTCTGATGTTCTGTTTTTTCTTGTATCACTACTCGTTCAGTTAAATTGATTGGAGGTTCTTTTACTTTTACTGTTGGTGTAAAACATCTTTCGGCTTCAGGAACCGAAACGTTCGAAGGTCCTGCAATTTGTTCATCTTCAATGCATGCTACTATTGCACAATCTTGTCTTCGCTTTTTTCCCATAATATCAACGATATTCCCTATTGTCGAGCTCCCTAAGGTACAAATGGGTTGTATAGAGCAGAGTTGGGTAGTATCCGGATACTTCTGTATCCGGATACTTTTTGAGTATCGGATACNTGTCGAGCTCCCTAAGGTACAAATGGGTTGTATAGAGCAGAGTTGGGTAGTATCCGGATACTTCTGTATCCGGATACTTTTTGAGTATCGGATACGCTGTATCCGGATACTTTTCAAATTTTGTATTCGGTATCCGGTATCCGTGACTAAATCTGAATGTATCCGGTATCCGGACACTTTTTTCGCTGTTCGGATACTTTTTAATTAAGTTTTTTTATTTAATATTCTATTATTACACACATACGTATACACCAGCGTGTTTGAAGCCTCATATTTTTTCAGTTTCTCCTACTATTGTACATCTTTTGTGACTACATCAATAATTGTGGCGTTACATGTTGGAAGTTAGTTGTTCTTCTCTTTTATTATTGTAGGAAAATCGAGGGNCTTGTCTTCGCTTTTTTCCCATAATATCAACGATATTCCCTATTGTCGAGCTCCCTAAGGTACAAATGGGTTGTATAGAGCAGAGTTGGGTAGTATCCGGATACTTCTGTATCCGGATACTTTTTGAGTATCGGATACTCTGTATCCGGATACTTTTCAAATTTTGTATTCGGTATCCGTGACTAAATGTGAATGTATCCGGTATCCGGACACTTTTTTCGGTGTTCGGATACTTTTTAATTGAGTTTTTTTATTTAATATTCTATTATTACACACATCACAAGCGTGTTTGAAGCCCCATATTTTTTCAGTTTCTCCTACTATTGTACATCTTTTGTGACTACATCAATAATTTTATTGTGGCGTTACATGTTGGAAGTTAGTTGTTCTTCTCTTTTATTATTGTAGGAAACTCGAGGGCTCTCTCTCCGACTAAAATTTGAATGCTAAATTCGAAATTCTTTCTAAATTCATTTTCTAAATTTAGAAAAAATTCAAAGAACTCATTCCCTAGCAAGTGTACACTAAATTTCCCCAGCGAGACACCACTCGGGAAAAATATAGGAGAAAAGATTAGGAGTAACTATAAGTAAAATATGGATGACAATATATTAGTTAAACAATAATTTAGGTCATTTTAAAAGTATCCGAGATCCCTTGATCTTGATAGCCCGCGATCTTAATACAATGACAAACCAAATTGCTTTGATGATACTATGTTATCCTTATTTGATTTTCATGCGCCTGTGATTACTAAGGTAATCAGAAAGCGTGCTTTGCCATGGATCACTTGGAATGTCATTCAAATGATTAAAATAAAGTATGAAGCGTTTGCTAAGTATAAAAGGATTAGGAGTCACCAGAGTTTTCAATATTATAAGACTCTACGAAATGATGTCACGGGTGCTATTCGCCGGGAAAAAAAGGTCATTTATTGAAAAAAATTTAATCGACGGTGACTCTAAGTGTTTGTGGAAAATCCTGTAACGATTTAACGTGTTGAAATCTTCTGCTATTTCGTTGCCTTCTCATTTGTCAGGTCCTAATGTTATCAATACTCCTGATATTGAACTTCTTACTTTTTNTCTCTGTGACGTCAGGCTAGGCAGTCTATTTATCATTGCCTACTTATAAAATAATGTATTTTATTCAATTTCGAGGTTAATTATAAAGGTAAGTATAGAGTATTATATATCATTGAAAAGCTTGAAAAAATTCTAGTTCAATAAAAAAATAAAATATAGGTGGTTCCATTTAAAAAAACCTAAGTTGTGTTTATAACTCAAAAACCGTGATGACTAGAAAAATTCTACGTACACCATTAGATTCTCCGTGAAAAAATCTATTAGAACCCGTTTTTACTTTTTTACTAAGTTTCCGGATAGCCGAGATACGGGAGGTGTCTGAAAATCGTAAATTTTGAAATACTCCCTGTATATGAAAAACGAAGAGGTCTATGAAAATTTGGTTTGCGGCATTATAAGTTTCACAAAAAAGTAGCTCAGGTTCGCGAAAACCGCAACTTTCTATCTTTCATAATAACTGAGATATCCTGCAAACCCATCGAAATTTGGACACCCTGTATACTAAATTTCCCCACCGAGAGACCACTCGGAAAAAATATAGGAGAAAAGATTAGGAGTCACTATAAGTAAAATATGGATGACAATATATTAGTTTAACAATAATTTAGGTCATTTTAAAAGTATCCGAGAATGTATCCGAAAACTGCAGTATACATGTATCCGGATACTTGTATGGAGAAAGTATCCGTACTTTTTTAAAAAAGTATCCGGATACATTGTAAGTATCCCGTATCCGGTACTCGAATACTTTTTTCCTGCATCCGTCCCAGCTCTGGTATAGAGTGACGCTTTGATAAAATATCTTCTAGTTTTCTTTGATATTAAAATTTTGTTTTTATATCCTCTTTCAAGACTCTTCCACTTGTTCTCTACTTGGAGAGGAGATGTAATGTATCTTATCAAATTCTACATTTTCTTTAAAGTTTTTATTTTTCGTTCTTCAACTAAAGTTTTTTTTTCTTTATAGAGATGCAGCAATAATTTTATTTTGGCATCATTCTTAATATTATTGAACGTCTATCTTCAAAACTATAAAATTCATGTCCATTTTCCACTGCCTCTACTGGGATTGAATGTACTGTGTTCTCTAGTACAACAAATATTAATAATAATAATAAATTATACATAATTTATAAAACGTAAGTGACGTGTTTTTTATATTCGTTTGTTTTCTATAAAGACATTTTAAGACATCTTTCTAATTTTGTTATATCTCATTCTCTTATTTTCATAATATTTTAACTGATTTTAACAAAGCATACTAAATAGTTTCTTTACATATATATTCATATATTATATTCAGTGTATTTAGATCGCGTAATTTGATTTTTGCTTTTAATTTTTAAATTTTAAATTAGCGCGCCATCTATTAGCTTCTAAACGTCATCACATCACGTACGGTTTTTGACATGTGGAGGTTATATTTTGAATTGAGGTTAGGTTCTCTTAAATTATACATTTAAAACTTGATTTAATTATATTTTTCATTTTATTTAATTAAAAAAGATATACATAATAATGGCAGAAACGGTTCAGAAAAATATGGAGTTAATGGTTAAAGAAATGAGGCAGTTTAGAGATTTAAAAATACTGAATGATGAAGAAATAAAGTAAGTAATTGTAAAATAATTGTGTTTTTAGAATTATTTAATAACAAATTTTAGAGAATTACTTAGAAGAAGAAAACATTACGAATATAAAATTAATGGTATAACAAAAAACTTAAACGATTACCTAGATTACATAAAATACGAGTATGCTTTATTAAAATTAATTAAAATACGAAGAGCAAACTCCAAAGATAAATGTTCAGGTGAAAGAAAAATAATTACAAGAATAAAAAGATTATACGAAGTAGCTGTCATGAGATTTCCTCAACATTTACAAGTTAGTCTTGATTATTTTAAATTTTGTAAAGAAGTAAAGTTTCTAAGTGAAGTGCGTTCTATACTTTCGAAAATGATCAAGGTAATTTTCATAGTCTACATTCATTTTTAATGTCTAATTATTGTTTAATTAATTGCTTTTTAGAATCATCCAAAAAAGGAGGAAGTTTGGCTAATAACTTCTCAATTTTATTTTAAAGATTTAAAAGATACAAAATTTGCGTTAAAAACTTTACGGAAAGGTTTAGCTATTCTTAAAAACAGCAAGTTGTTGTTTAAAGAAATATTTAAAGTTGAAGTTTTGGATGTTGTAAATAAACAATCTTCTGATGTAAACAAGGAAAATGATGAAGAAGAAAATGAAAACGAGAAAATGTGTGTTAAAAAATTATTATTGTACTTTGAGGAAATGAAAAAACTTATTGAGGATATCGATGTTTATATGGAAATTTTACAATTTTTGAAAGACTACAAATTTACTTTACCTGTTCAAAAAAGTATTGTTCATCATTTATATTGCAATTATTCTGAGGAATTAGCTGTTTGGAATGCTGGAGTACCTTGTTATGATATTGCTTATAAAATGACTGAATGATTTAATAAATCTGTTCATAGATAAACTATTTTATTTGGCATTATTACATTTTCAACTTTTTCACATAAGTTATAGATATGAAGTGTAGAATATTATACAGTATGTCCAAGGAAAAGGTGTTGAACAAGAAAAACTTTTTAATTTTATCAAAAAATGTTAATCTTGATAAAAAATTTTGTTAGTTCTTAGAGTAAGATTGGGATAGAAACATTTAACATATTTTATACGCGGTGTTCAGAAAACTGAAAAAACTTTAAATGGTATAAGAGTATAAGAGTTACTAGGAAAAGTTGTTCAAAAGTAAAAGGTAGTGTCTAATAGAGCACTGCACGAGTACGTAAAAAGTAATCTGAGAAATAATCGCCGAGTATACAACTGAACGATACGAGTACATACTCGGCACCGTTGGCCAATGCATCGCCGATGCATTCAGTTGGTGATACGAGTAATATTCATCAGAATTGCATCGTAGCATCGTGCATCGTGGCGAGTACGCATCGTGAATACTCGTCGGGTTTTCTCGTTTCGTGTTTCGACAAGTCGAGACAGGACAGTTGCACGGAATTATTCTGGAACTAATCCTTTCCGCAAACAAAAACCTCTATCTTCTTTTGTTTTTAAGTTATAGCCAAAAAATCAAATTTTCGTGATTTCAAAAAATGCTCATATTTCGTTTATTTTTGAAATTATAAAAATGGGGTTGGTACGTTCTTAAGACACATTTTAAGTAGAATATACTGCTCTTGAAAAATTTAAAAAATATTTGATGATTTTTGAGATACAACACAAAGTTGTGTTTTTTAAATACAAACCATACTTGATCATGATGTTACTGAAAAGACCATATTTTTAGGTTTCCAATGATGCATCGCATGTATGGTGTATTTGCAGAAAATAAGCGTTAATTTTCAATTCCAAAATAGTAAGCGCTAATGTTCAACATTTTGATTATAGTAGGCGGGTCCAGACAGTAAATACTACCTAGTGGCTATAATACACTCAGTTCCAAAAAAAGTGACGCACTTGATTTTTGACCTAATTTTAATATCGTATATTTTTTAAACCAGTGGGCCGATTTTTATTATTTTTTTATTTTTTGGTAGCCAATTCCTTTGTCTTTCAAAAAAAAATTAAAAAGGTGGAAATTTTTTCAATGACTCCTGGATGGTACTGGAAAAACTGGAACCATGTTTTTTTCATAATTTTGACTCACCCTGTGTATTAATCAAGTAATGGCATAAAAAGTGCTTACACCCTATATGAAAGACGTTTCTTTTATGAGCATTTTGTTTTTTTATTCATTAATTTATCTCTAAAATTGTCCGAATTGAAGCTTTTTTGTTGAAACCTTGCATATTGCCAACTTTCTGAATTTATGGAAAAACAGTTTTCTAGTGAAATAAACTGATACGAATTTTTAAAAAAGTTTTATTAAACACTAAGTTATAAACTGGGATAACTGCTTAATACCGTGTATTGCCTCCCCTAGCAACTCTAAGAGTTTCTAATCTAAGCGGCATACTGGAAATCAGGTTTCTTATCGTTTCCATTGGTATACGATCCCATTCTTCCACTAACGCATCTGCTATTTCTGCGAGGCATTCCTGAGGCCTCTCGCGAGAACGTACCCTTCTATAACCTATTAATAGAATTCAAACTCAAGCAAATATGCCTCATTACCTTGGGAATAAAATCCAAAATGAAACAATTAATTTATTAGGGAATATCATAAAAGAAATTATTTTAAGTCAGATCAAAACGGCAAATTAGTATTATTCTATTTTACTGGACTGTACGTACGCCTGATGTTAGCCATCAAGAGCAGATATCAGTTTGTGTAAGATATCTTAATTTAGAAAACACAAAAGTTAGCAGGAAAGGTTTTATTATTTTGTCTTGTACCAGGAGATCACCGGCGAAGAGCTTACAATATTTTAGTTAAATACTTTGGACGAATATGGTTTAGATATCAGTAACTTACGTTAATAATTGAAAATTATCTGCGGTCTACTATGGGACAAGATAGATTGGCAAATCTTGCAATCATATCTGTTGAGAGTGGCATTTTACAAAAATTAGATGTAGATTTAATAATAGGGCAATTTGCTAAAAACAAAGCCAGAAAAGTTTAGTTTCTGTAAGATGCATTTCAATATACAGGGTATCTCAACGAGACCGGTCATTAGACGTTTCTGGGGTTCTGGCCAAAATAAAATTTTGAGAATTCAGATTCAAGTATAACACAAAATTTGACATTAAAGCATTAAATTTCAATTCTTTAGCTCGTAGTTAGACGAAAAAAAAAAATATATGGCATGAAAAAGTTTGCTTTTTTATTTAGGAAACCGCTTGAACAATATTTTTCAAAATCTGTGGTTCTAATTTTTAATTAAAAATGAAACCATTTAAATAAACATTTTCATCATTTTTATTAAGTTTTACTATCAAAATGACTTACAAAAAAGTAGAAAATAATTTAAAAGTGCGCATTGTTCGAAGCTTCTAATGTCCTGGTGAAAACGTTCTCCTTGCTCTTCTGAATACGCTCCCATATTGTTTTTGAATTTATCTAAATGAGCATGCAGCATATGTACTTTTAATGACATCCTGCAGCCCATGGCCTCAAAATTTTTTGGCATATTTTCAACTAGTTTTTTGTAGTTTTCAGCTTTGTTATTTCTTAAAAATCCAGAAACAACTGCTTTAAAACTGCTCTAACTAGCTTTTTGAGTACGATTCAACAACGTTGAAAATTTTTCATCGGCGAAAATCTGTCTGATTTGCGGACCAACAAAAACCCCAGCAGCTAACCTTTGCTTCTGATAACTTTGGAAAAAATTTTCTTAAGTATTCAAAAGCTTCTGAGGATTGATCCAGTTTTTTAACAAATTGTTTCATTTCACTTAATGTGCAGAGGTGGCATTAACACTTTTTCCGCTTCAACAATTGGCTCAAATTTTACGTTTTCTTTTCCGACACAAAGTTCTGTTCTTACAGGCCATGACCGTTGAGTATAATGCTTAGTATCCGCTTTGCTATCCCATAAGCACAAATAACACGGATACTTTGTTATCCGCTTTGAAGTCCCATCAAAAATCCCACCAGTTTAAAATCTCCAATCAACTGCCAGTTATACTCGCGATATTTTACACGTTCAAGCAAAATTTTTACACTTTCATAATTTTCTTTAAGATGTACTGAGTGAGCGATTGGAAGAGATGGGAATTTATTTCCGTTGTGTAATAAAACAGCTTTTAAGCTTTTTGTAGAGCTGTCAATGAATAACCACCATTCGCTAGGAACACAAGCTATGCCAATTTCTTTGAACATACCTTTTATGTCATTGCAAAAACAAAGTCCATCTTCTTTTGTGAAAAATGTTGAGAATGTTTCATGCCTAGTCTGCTGATCCGTGATATTAAAAATTCCACTGCTTTAAGCGAGAGCCTAAAAGCTCTGCTTTACTTTTTGGCAAATTTAAATCTCTAATCAAATCATTAAAATCTTCTGTATTGATGAAATGATGTTTTGGTTATTCTGGTGTCGGTAAAAACTCCTTATCGGAATTACTTCTATGAGAACAAAGAAATGAGCTACTTTTCTGCGGTGGCTCAGGTACTGGTCGTGTCAAATCGTGTGCGACTGGAGCAGATGAAGATTCAAAGTCAGGATATTCGATAGGTTTTGCATTTTTACCTCTACGTCTTTTACTCGGATTCACAATGCAAAAGTAGCAGTCGTTTACGTGGTCTTTTGGTTCTCGCCAGATTCTTGGTATTGCAAATTTCATAGACCTTTTCTCACCTCGATACTAGCCTAAAATATAGAAATTAATATGTCTATTGTATTTAATTCACCATTTAATTAAAATTTGTTTACCTTCCAAACATCTTTTACAATAACTACAAGCAACATGTGGAGAGATTATTCTAGACTTATACAAAATACCTGATCGTTGTTTATCACTCGAGCGCCACCTATAAGCACTGTATGAACGTTAAACACTGTATGTATTAAAAATAATTAAAATTGATAAAAAATTGAAAAATGCGTATTATTACTATAACAATTACAAAAGCAAACTTTATACCAAAAAAAGGTATTTTCTTTTCGTTTTCGTTCATAATTAACCAGAAAATCATAAAATAAACTTTAGGACAAAGAACAAAAATTTTTTTGTAGAGTCGTTTAATCAATTGCGTTATCTTCAACTAAAATATTTTCAGATTTCTAGCACTTCCGGTTAAACTGGAAGTCGCTACCTGCTTAAACGGAACACCAATATTTTTATGTATTTGGATTTGTCTATTTTCAAGGTTTATATAATAACTTTACTTTTTGCAATTTGATTCGGCTGTTCTCGATTTTTTCTAAAAAAATATGCTCTAGCAGACATTTGTTCAAAAGATCAGAAAACACTCGATTTTTAGGATATCAATTTAGGATTCGGAACATGCGTAAGCAACATGATGGACTATGTTTTGGTGCCGAGCAAGGGCGTCGCCAGAGAGGGACAGACTGGGACCACTGCCCCCCCCCCCCTAGAGGCAGATTCGAAAAAAAATTAAAACACAATAAATATACATCTCGAGTACTAAACAACTATCGAATGGGATGCCATATTTTGATCTGGAAAGCAAGGAAGTTCAAGAAGTATTCCTCGAATTCGTCAAACTTGATACTTTGGATGCGAAATGTATTGCAAAAACAATAGATGCATTTTCGGCAGAAGAAGATCTTGATCCGGACAAATGTGTTGGTTTAGGATTTGTGCAAGCAATCCTACGCAGAAAATATAAAACAGCTTTGTGCTTTCATCAAAGGAAGGTACCATAAAAGATATTATTACATTTTTTCAAGAATCAGTTTTGAGACGCAAAGTGATACCAAATATTTCTAAGCTTTGCGAAACAAGGTAGAGCGAGAAACACAAAAATATTAGTGTTTTTAATGAGAATTTTCCTATTATAATGGAGGCCTTTGAAACCTCATCACGGGAAGAAAATAAGAATAAATAATGCGACTAAA